AGATTAAACTCTATCACAAGTTTAAAATTTCCTGTATTTTTTACTTTGATATTGGTTTTATAATAATATCGTCAAAAGCATTTCTTAGACTAGCATCCATTTTTGTAAAATTGTCCCCCGACAATAAGAATATCCTATAAGGTCCTAATTAGATTTAATTTTCAAATTCCAACCTGATTGTTTAAGCTACATCAATGCCATTCATAAGTGGCATTTAGTTATCCAATAATATTATCTTATATTAGCAATGGCCTTTACAGCTTTATGTTTCTCCATCTTTAATTTGCTCTTGAAAATTTTTTCTAATTTTATCAATAGCTTCCCTTCCGTTAAAAACTTTCTCAATATCAGATATACCTATTGAATTTAGCATTCCTTCAATAGCTATAATATTGAAAGGATCATCATCAGCTATTAGAATTCTAGGACATTTGCACTTCTGCAATATCTTACTTTCCTCTTAGATTTCGATACTTAAAGTTTCTAAGTCTAAATCTGATTAATTAGGAATCACATAATTTTAAGGAGAATCTTAAAATTCTATTATGCTTTGTCTTGAAAAATCTGGAGGAAATATACTCTTTATTGGAGAAAAGTAATCTTGAATCTTAATCATTGAATCTCTGTCTGTATCTACATTATATGTAATCTCAAACTAATTCTATATCTCATTGTACTCATTTTGGGAGCTGTCATAAGGCTTTTAAGGAGTCTCTATATAACTGAGAGAATGTTGGTGATTACTATTCTTTCCTTTCTCCATATCCATATTTAATGATCCTTCTCGATAAGAGTCATGTTTATTTGAGTATTTGCAAAATTCATTATTATCATCTGAAACTAAATTATGAGATTATCTATCAGGCAAATCATAAAATTAGTTATATCTCTATGATAGCAATACAATAAAGTTTGAGCCTTTATCAACTTAGGATTCTACAATGATATCTCCTTTGAGAGCTTAAGCTAAATTTTTGCTAATCGTAAGTCCTAAGCCACATCCATCCTTATTTAAATCACGATTTTTCTTAGTTTTATTGAAAGCACTGAAAAGTTTTTCTTAGTCTTAAGTGGCAATTCCAACTCCACTGTCTTAAACTTTGATGCAAAGCTATTCTGATGATTCCTTCTTATAACAGAGAATTTTGACATAGCCTTTGCAAGTGTATTTTATTCCATTAGATAGAAGATTTATCAATATTTGTCTCAGCCTATGCTCATCTGTCTGTATCTTATTTGGGAAACTTTGATGAATTTCATAGTACATATCGATTCCCTTTTGATCAGATCTGAACTTAAGAACATTTATGCAATCTTCAAGCAAAGTTTTTATTTCGACCCAATCGATATTAAGCATAAGTTTCTATGATTCTAATTGACTGAAATCAAGAATATCATTTACAAGGTAGAGCATTAATTAGGAGCAATTCTTTGCTGTTTTAAAAAACATCTAACTGCCTTTGTCTTATAAGATTTTATCCTCAAGTAGATCAAGAGAGTTAATTATTGCACCTAGAGGATTCCTGAATTCATGAGCAGCCGAAGCAAATGCCTATGTTTTTGCAAGGGTGATATTTTTCTATTTCTCTAATTCTAGATAAAGAGATTAATCTCTTATAGTCGTGACAACAAATGGCTTTTAGCTTGTACTTATGATGTTAGAAAATATCTATAATCTTTTGCTCTTTACATTGCCTTCTTTTGAAGAGTTTTTATACTTAAAATATAGTCCATCAGTAATTTTATTAGGCAAAGGTAGGCTGAAAATATCTCGAGGATTAAATTGGTCTGTTAAGTTAGTATCCTCATATTATTTAGCAAGCATATAATCCCAAAGATTATGGGATTTAATCTCTAGTTATTAATTTTATTCTCACTATATACTTGTGTCTAAAACCTAGTATTAATTTTATTAAAGCTAACATTTTTCAACTTTAGCTATTGTTGATTTGAGTTTTTCAATTATTTAAAATTATGATTATGTCTCAATTTGATCGTCAATACTTACAACTGACTAATATTCCTCCTTGCATTATTTTTTATCTTTATTCCCTATCATTTAATTTTTTACATCTTGATCAAAAATATTAGGAACTTGCTTGTTAATAAAGAGTACTTCATTGCCTGAAGTAATCATTATTCCATCATGA